TCAATTTTATCCATGTCTAAATTATAACTATAATATTGTTACAAATACACTGAAACTTAGGCATCTATGTGTAAATTGCTCCTTCAAAGAAGTTATCTTTGGAGTTTGTATTTAAATGGGCATTTATAGAGCACTTAATGTTTATAAGACATTTGCTAGGTATTGTATAAACATTACTTCAGTTAACACTTACACAGTTCTGATACATAGGTATAATTAACCCTATTTTGCAAAGAAGGAATTGGAAGATGAGACCTATTTCCAAGATCATAGCACGATTTACTGGTAAGGCTGCTGTCATTACTCAAATTTTGGATAACTGATTGCATAAGCAAAACTTAAGAAAGGAGTTGTTTACACTGTGGTGTGTGTGTCAAGACCCAAGAAAATAAGCAGTCTTCTATGTTTTGGAGATAAGAAAGAAAATGGATTGCTAAAATAAGAGGCTATATTTTGAGTCAAGTTTGGAAAACAAATTGGGTAACAAAGATTCAGCAAGCTACTGAGATTGACAGCCTTGAAAGTCAAACAGAAGAATTAGACCCTCGTTCACTCAGTGGGTATTGTAAGTTATTGAATAAAGTAATGCCTTGATGAAACCAGTAATCTAGGAAGATGAGCCTGACAGTGGTTTCTAGGATTTTGAACAATTTGAAAACTTAAACATAGGACTTATGAATTGATATAATGTTGCAAGCATTCACATAAAATTCAAGGTTTTTAAAAATATCTTAATGCACAAAGTTTTTAACAGAGATATTTTTTCTAATATATTTGAGATATGTACCGTTACTTTATGTGAACATTGATATGTTTTGATAAATTGAACTTGTCAGATGCCAACCAATCTTTAGGGCTATTTATTTATTTATTCATGAGCAGTTATGTATTTTCCATTTTTGACTGCTTCCTTGTTTTGTATTTCATGTTTTTACTTATAAATACATTTTTCATGTTGCATTACTATTCCTTTTTTGATGTACACAAAAATACAAATAGGGGAAAATTAACCATATGAATGGTAAAAGAACGTTTTGTCTTCAGGGAAAACATATGGGATTTTCTTGCATTGGATATACCAAATAAATTAAAACAAGGGAAAATGTGTGTTAGACAAGTAAAGGAAATATTTATGACTTTGTGTGTGTTTGTGTTGTGTGTGTAGAGAGAGACAGAGACAGAGACAGAGGAAGACAGAGAGAGACAGAGAGATTGATTTCATTTCAAATCCGAGGCTTTATGGTTTCTCCTGTAAAGTATGAAAACTCCAGTTGGGATAACAGTGCAATGGCAAACTTTACATTAACGTTGATAATTTAGTATACAGTGTTTTGAGAATTAAACATATCTATAAAATGATATTTTAAGTTGCCTGCTTTCTTAATTGATTTCTGTTTTCACAGGCCTACTTTTCACTTTCATATTTGTATCACTTCTCATGTCTTAAATATTTGGTAATGACTGTTAAAAATCTATTTTATATTCAGTGACAAATGCTTATGTGCATATTCTTTATAAATAATTTGGAATATGAATCTTATAAAACCAATTATAAAATGAGTATTTTGACTAGAAGTCTTCTAATTGTAAAGAACTGGGGATACATACTTCCTCACTCAATGCTCCATAGAAATTACTGAAAGTATACATGCCTACTTCAGATCTATAAACAAGAAAGAGCTCTTATATCTTGGAAGACAGAAGCAAATGGCTATAAATGGTGTATGAGTAATACCATTTTAATTGAAATCAAGATACCTCGATAAGGAGGGAGAAAATACTGAAGGAAATACGTCAATTAATGATCATTGTTTACTTCTGTGTGTGCATGGGAGGGTGCTTGGTGAGGGGTGAAGGGAAAAGGAATAAGCAAGAAAAAATAAAAAATAAAAAATGTCCATGACAAAGATAGCATGTGCATAATCTCAGTTATGTTAATGTGTTGGTATTGTCTGTGCGTGTGTGTGCCCATAAGTGTGTATTTGTGCTTGTGAGTATGACTGAAGAGATGCATAAGATGCTGGTCCCCCAACTGTTAATATCTTGTTATCTTGTATGGAGGGATTCTAGATTTTTCTTTTCTTCCAATAATCTATGTATTTTAATTTTTGGCAGGGAACATGTTGTTATTAATTTAATCATGCCAAAAACGAAGATCTGCATGGAAAGATTAAGAGAAAGTAGATGAGAGCAGAATAATGGCAAAATTAGAGCAAACACACATACACGCAATCCCAAAACTAGGCAACTACTGTTCTTCACAACAAACGATTAGAAATTTGGAGTCAACAACCATAAGCAAAATGTGTAGATCATGCAGCAATTATCAGAGTAATTAATTAACAATGCATGGAAGAACTGGGTAGGTCTGGCCCCATACGTTCATTCATTTATTCTGAGTGGTAGTGGCATTTGCCTCCAGGATATTCGTCAGTATAAACAAATTAAGGATGAAATTTTGAGATGGTTTTTATTGTAAGTGCCAGTGCTTGAGAGAAGCAGAGACCAGTCTTCTGTAATTCCAATCCATTCAAGGAGGGAGTTGAAGGAAGAGAAGAAAGAAAGTCTGATTCTAGGGTGACCAACTATCTCTTGGTTTGCCCAGGATGTTCAGTGATAAAATTGGGAAAATTCCAGGTAAATCAAGATGAGTTGATCAGCCTAGCTAATTCTTATGCTTGAGCCCAGTCCCCAGATTTAAAGTAAAGCTTTCTGAAGATAGAACAGTATCTTAGGAAACTCTCAACATAGGTAGTGGGACAGGAGAAGTAGGAAAGTTTCCTAGGTAATCACAGCCATCAGAAGACATGGGAAGCTCCCACATCTGATGGGAAAATATACATGAACATCCATGGTCTGCTGATAGTCTTGTACTTCTCCCCCAGTTATCAGAGGCAGACTATGACGATTCAAACCTGAATCTTCCATCATGCCAACAGTAATCCTTATTTGACACTAATATTTTAGATTATTTCAATATGAGAGGTTGTGGGAGTAAGAGGAGAGATGAGAAAAATTTTTATAATTTTTAAAGGGGAATTTTAGACAGAGATTCACTTAGACATTGATAGGATAATATCAGTTTAAATATGAGGGTAGAAAAATAAAAGCCACCTATATGATATTAGAAATTAGATAAATAACTTTAAAAACAAGGCAGGAAGATAATAATTGAATATAAGAACAAAATCAATTTAACAAAAAAATAGGAAAGGAGAAATAAAAAAACAAAAAAGCTTGTTTTTATAGAAACATATAGGATGATGACAGATAGTTATCTAAAGCAGTCAAACTCATTGAAGCAGAAAGTAGAATGATGGTTGCAAGGGGCTGAGGGTAAGGGAAAATGTTCAATGTGTATGAAATTTCAGTAACGTATGATGAAAAAGTTCTAGAAATCTGTTGTACAACATTGTGCTTGTAGTTAACAATACTGTACCATACACTTATAATTTTGTTAATGTAGATCTCATGTTATGTGTTTTTTACTACAATCAAAAAAAAGAGAGAGGACTGGACTTTAAATGAAAAAAAGTCTCAACATAACAGAAATCAAAACAAAGATGAATGGATTAAATTCCATTACAAAAATAAGGAGAAGTATTCAAATATATAATCATATAGGGAGATTTTAACATGCCACACTAGAAATAAATTAATTGTGTGGGCTAAAAGTAAGTAAAGATCATAAAACTTTCCCCCAAAAATACAGTTCATTATTCACAGATTCCATATTTGCAAATTCTCTTATTCCTTAACTTTATTTGTAACCCCAAGAGTGATACTTGCAGTGCTTTTGCCATCATTCACATAGACTGGGGAAAAATTTGAGTTGCACACTAGGCACATTTCCAGCTGAGACCAAGCAAGTCTTTCTTGTTTTAGTGCTCATGCTGTAAACAAGTGTCTTTTCTGTGGTATATTTAGTGCCGCCGTTTTTGCATTTTTCGTTATCTTTTGTTGGTGATTTCACTGTTTAAAATGCCCCCCAAGCATAGTGCTGAAGTGTTGTCTAGTGTTTCTGAGCACAAAAAGGCTGTGATGCATCTTAGGGAGAATACGCCTGTGTTGGATAAGCTTCGCCCAGGCATGTATTTTAGAGCTGTTGGCTATGAGGTCAATGTTAATGAATCAACACTATCTATTAAATAAGGTGTCTTTAAACAGAAACACATTAAACAAGGTTATGTTTTGAACAGTTGATGAAAACATTGGGACCAGAGGCTTGTAGGAACCTCACCCTATAGATCCCCTAGGAGTAATGGCCCACTATTTTCTAGTGCAGTATCCACGGTGACTTTATAGAACATAACTACTGTGAATAGTGAGAATTGACTATATATGTGTATATACAAATTCGTACCAAATAATGAAACAATGCATACTATTTTCAGAAACCAATGAAATATTCACACACCTAAAAATATCATATATTAAGGCAGAAAAGAATCTCAATTATTCCAAAATTTGACATCATATGTGTCAATCTCTTGCTACAATGCAAAAAAAAAAAAAAATTAGAAGTTAATAATCAGGGCCGGCCCCGTGGCTTGGTGGTTAAGTGAGCGCGCTCCACTGCTGGCGACCCGGGTTCGGATCCCGGGCTCGCACCGACGCGCTGCTTCTCCGGCCATGCTGAGGCCACGTCCCACATACAGCAACTAGAAGGATGTGCAGCTATGACACACAACTATCTACTGGGGCTTTGGGGGGAAAAAATAAATAAATAAAATCTTTAAAAAAAAAAAAGAAGTTAATAATCAAAGGGCATTCCACAAAATTATTCACTGTGTTAAATGAAAAACTAGTTTTTAATATTGCTAAACATCCACTAGGCCAACTAAAATTTAAAAGATCGACAACACAAACTGTTGGCAAAGATGTGGAGGAACTGAAACGCGCACTTATTTCTGGAAGGAATGTAAAGTGGTACAACCACATTGAGAAATGTTTTAGTAATTTCTTGGAAAATTAAACTACCCTTGACTGAGTATTTACAATCCTAGTATTTATCAAAAATATATAAAAACTTCTGTCTGCTAAATGACTTGTATAAAAATGTTCATAACAGATTTATTTACAATAGTCAAAAAATCTATTGTAAATAGCCCAGGTATCTATCAACAGAATAATGACTGAAAAACTGTAACATAATCATACAATGAAATTCTACTAAGCAATAAAAGGGAAAAAACGACTATTGATATATGCAACTACATGTGTGACTCTCACAGATATAAAGTATAATTCTATTCATATGAAATCCTAAAATAGGGAAAACTAATCTAACATGAAAAAATACTAGACCTGTGGTGGCCTCTAGTGGGGGTGGGAATTGACTGGGAAGGTATATTGAAGGAGCATTCTGCAGAGATTTTATATATCATGATAGGGATATGGGTTTCTTGGGTGTATATATTTTTCAAATTGTGCAGCTAAGATTTTTGCATTTTTATGTTTGTAAGTTTCACCAAGTCAGAACTTCTAAAATAACTGTAATGATTGACTAGGGAATGGAGAGGAAGTGAAAGGATATATTATACTGTTTGTTTTACTTTGGTTGTGTTTGAAATTTTCCATAAAAATCTAAACAGTACTTTTCTCAACAATGTTTGGCTTAAAGAAGATATCAACGCAAACTACAGAGTGATTAGAAATAAATAACTCTCACATCAAAACCCTGGAAGTTACTCTGTTCTCTACTCTATGTCTTATCTCCCAACATGCAAGTAGCCAATAAGTTTTGTCAGTTAAATTTCCTTAATAATTCTCAAATTGATCCTCTTCTTCTATTCTAACTGTTCCTAACATAGGTCAAGACTTCATCTTTTCTCGCCTGAGTTATTGTAATAATTCTCTAACCTAACTCCTTGTCTTCACTCTTGCTCCATCTATTCCAGAGTGATCTTTCTAAAGCACAGATCTGATCATGTTATTTCCCTGTTGAAAACCTTTCAAATGTGTTTCTTTTTCTACAGGATAAAGACCAATCTCCCCAGCCTTTATAATTATGTCTATTTTACTGATAACAAATGGCAATCTGTATAGGAGAAATGCCATTTGTCCAGTGGATAAATGGAGCAGGTGAATGTGTAATGCAGGATTTTCCATATACCAAAAATTCCCTAAAGTCTGAAAAATGCTTATTAAAGACACTTAAATATAGCACTATAAGACACTAAAGGGCCGGCCCCGTGGCTTAGCAGTTAAGTGCACGCGCTCCGCTACTGGCGGCCCAGGTTCGGATCCCGGGCGCGCACCGACGCACTGCTTCTCTGGCCATGCTGAGGCCGCATCCCACATACAGCAACTGGAAGGATGTGCAGCTATGACCTACAACTATCTACTGGGGCTTTGGGGGGGAAAAAAAAAGACACTAAATATCTTAGACTCAGCCAACTTGTTAACACTTTCTTCTACACTTGGAAAAATACTCTGTTGTTTTTTTCCCTTTTAGCGCATACTTAAAATGTAATGCATGTCAATGAAAAAGACTTGGCTTCATAGCTTTCATTACTATAATAGTAAAATATACACCGATGCCACTACCAGAACCACAACTACTACTGCAGTAAATTCTGTGTTGTTCTTGCTTCTTGTGTCATTCACTTCAGATTCAGAGTTCCAGGCTTCAGTATCCTGTTGGCTAAGCTTAGATCATGTGCTGTACCAGGGATAAGAGATGGTATCTGACCTAAACTTCTCACACTGTGGCTGATTTTCCAATATCAGAAAGAAGTTTCCAATGAGGGGAAACCAAAATAAAACAAAAACCAGCATCAATTCATGCCTTACCTCTTTTGATAATCACTTCAACTGTAATAGATAGGTACTATGGTTATCTCCATTTTCAGATGAAGAAACTGAGGTTTATAAAGCTTAAGTAATTGCCCTAGATATGCAGTTATTATGTGCCTGGCCCCACATATGAACCTAGGTAATCTTACCCCGGAGAGTAGCCAGTGAAGATATTTACAGCAAAATAGTAGCAATGTATTGATATGCATGATACTTCTTGAATATTTTTTCTTGATATTCAGATTTATTATGCTTACTTATTAGAATCAGTGTTTATTCTTAAGAATGCTTATTTCGTCTGTGTTTAAAGGAAGTATTTTGCACTTCTAGAAATCAAAGTGAAAGTTAAAATGAGTAAAAATAATTCCCTTCAGAGCTCAGAAGTTGATTCCTCAAGATGTGTACAAATTCAAAATTAAATTATTAGAATAATAAAAAATGAAATTTTGTAGGGCATTTTGAATGAAATTAATGTTTTCTTGGCTTATTCAATAATATGTGATAAGAAAAGTGATAGTATAGTGAAGGAAAAGCTGTCAATTTGGACAAGAGAGCCACAAGTAATGTCAATGGCTATCTTAATAAAGAGAGCATATTGCATTTCATCAGTGTTGAAGAGACAAGTCAGACCTGTTTATCCAAGGTTATAAAAATTGGGCCCTGGAAAATCAGAATTGATTTGAATAAAATGTATGATCAGGCCTATGATAGCACAGGTAATGTGACTGGAAAATGTAACTGAACCGTAACAAAGTTTAAAGAGGAAAAAACAAAAGGATTATAAACACATTCTCATGTTCATTCGTGTGTTGATTTAAATTTGTAGGGTTTTGTGAGGAAAGAGCTCTGAATCTCAATACTGTCATTTATTTGTATGATGCTGTACATGCATATGTGAACATATTAGCAATATTTCAAACGAATCTAAGCAGAGCGAAGTGGTAATACTAGGAAGCCATATAATTTGTTAATAACCTGATAAACTTGACACTATTGTGCATTATTTTCTGTGATGGATTGCCTGAGATTACCAAACTTTTGGATCTTGAATCAATGACCACTTTCAATGTTCAGATGGTCTGTGAGTTGAGTGGTTTCCTGACACTGGTTCCCAAATTTGAAATTCTATTTTTTAAAATCATGTTATGGGTTACAGAAATTCTTTATACAGAGCCTCATAGTGGAATTTGTAGATGGTTTCTTTTTTTCTAAAAACGGAAGCAATACTTCATTTTTTATCATCTGTAGAACAGAATGAATGTTTCAAAAGCATTTGTGATAGTGGGAAGGAATTATGCCAATTCATATTCTCTAAATCAGCACTGTCCAATAGAACTTTTTGCAATGATAAAAATTTTCTATATCTGCACTGTCCAATACATTAGCCACTAGGTACAAATGGCTACTAAGTACTTGAAATGGCTAGTGTGACTAAGGGACTGAATTTTTAAAGCTATTTAATTTGAAGTAATTTGAATATAAATTTAAATAGTCACAGGTGTCTAACAGCTATGTATTGATCAATGCTGCTTTCAGATTTTAAAACAGGAAAACCTTGTTTTCAGAGAACAAGAAACCTTCCCCATTCTTCAAAAATAGGTCATGGCAATTAGGATGTGCATTTTATCCTATTTAGACTGATGAATGGTATTTGATTAATATTTAACATGAAATATTGGATACAATATTACAAAATTTATATCTATACTTTTAAAAGAAAATCTTCTAGACTGACAGGGCTTCTAAAAATTCCTTTCTTTCTCACTGCAGTATCCTCAACATTTAACACAATGCTTATTAGACATAGAGTAGACATAGAGTAGGCCCTGGATAAATATTTATTCAATGGATGAATGATAAAACAAACTTAAATGAACATCATAAGTACTATTTAAATAGAGCAAACTGTTAAATCAGTGGCCAGAAAATGTCCAATGATAGTACAGACTTAAATGCAAATGTTATTCCAGAACTTTGATTTTACTGGTACTATCCAAAGCTCAACCCTGTCCATGAATGTTTCAACTAAATCAATTTTGACTGTTTTTTCTTCAATAACGCTCATCTCCTCTCAGAGCTTTTGAATACTGCTTTGGCAAGTGCGCAACGCTCATTTTCATTCAACAAATATCTGTTGGACTTGTACTATCTTCCAGGCACTGAGTTAGAGAGACATTATGTTGGGTAAGACTGTGGGCTCTGGAGTCTGATCACCTTGCTTGGAATCCTGACTTTCTGCATACTGTGTAAACTTGGACAAGTTACTTACCTTTGTCATGCCTGAGTTTCTATTTCTGTAAAAGGGGGTAAATATAGGATATATTCATAGGGTTATTTTGAGGATTAAGTGATTTAATGCATGTAGAGAGTTTAAAATAGTCCCTAGTACTAGCAACTAATTAATTTTAGCTATTAAGTGCTGGGAATTCAGCAATAAACGAACAGGGTTTATGTCTTTATAGGGCTTAATTGGCCCTCAGTATAACAGTGAAACTGGTCCTTGACATTTACCAATTGTGTCCAATGGACCCTTTTTATTTGATTTTTTTTTTTACTTTTTAAAGGCATTTTATAAATAATTTACAGATGTGAGAACAAAAGGTTAGGGAAAAACAAGTTGATTATAAACTTCAATAAGAATTTAAACATAGTAAACCTCTTTGTACCAAGTAAATTTTGGCATACAAACATCTTGAAACATGAAAGAATACTGTCCTATGTCCTTTTAGCAAAATATTATCAGTATTTGTATAAAAATATTGAGTGATAGGAGGCCAGCCCCGTGGTGTAGCAGTTAAGTGCACGCACTCTGCTGCTGGTGGCCTTGGTTCGGATCCTGGGCGTGCACCAATGCACCGCTTGTCAGGCCATGCTGTGGCAGCGTCCCATATAAAGTAGAGGAAGAAGGGCACGGATGTTAGCTCAGGGCCAGTCTTCCTCAGCAAAAGAGGAGGATAGGCATCAAATGTTATCTCAGGGCTGATCTTCCTCACACACACAAAAAATATATTGAGTGATAAACTTCTTCCTGTTGAAGGACTAGAAGACAATATCGTATTTCCTTTTTGTCTTTAGAAATATATTGTTTAGGGGAGAGAAGTCAAGATGGCAGCGTAGGCGGGCTCTGAACTCACCTCCTCCCGTGGACACAGCCAATTTACAGCTACTCTTGGAAAAATTACCCCTGAAAGAGAACTGAAAACTGGATAAGAGGAACCCCTTCAACAAATGACAATCCTAATTGAAGTGGAAGAGGCAGAAACTCCCTTCTGAAGAAAAAAAATGCTGCCTTCACAAGCCGCAGCACCTCATGGCTGCCCAGGAGCAGCCCAAAGGTCCGCAGCCCTCCCTGGAGGTGCGGGGCCCTGAGCCGGGGAGCGCCCCCGCTGTGGGCATTCTGTAGACCCAGCACAATCGAGATGAGTGGCATAATATCTGACTTTGCCTGCTACTAAAACATTGGGGAGTACCCCCAGAAAATTTGGTTCACAAAGAAATCAAAACCAGCTCTTAAAGGGTCCATGCACAAACTCACCCTGTTCAGAAAGCAATCTAAAATCAGCAGAAAGAAAGTTGCACAGCTCTTTGGGGAAAAGAGACTCACCTGATAGGCTCTGAGTGTGTCTCGGTGAGAGGTGAGACCTCTCCAGGGACTGGGACATTGGCAGTGGCCATTGTTGTGGCCTGGTATGGGCGTGCTGACACAGATGCTGGCAGACGCCATTGGAGTTGTCCCTGGGGCCTGCTAACCCAGGGTCTGCCCCACCCACTAGAGCACCAATTTAATCCAGCTCAGCCAGGGCAGGCAGCCCACCCTAGGGACTGGCTCCACCCAACAACAAGCTCTGGGGCAACTTGAGGGCTGGCTAAGGGAGCTTCCTATGTTCTCCACAGCCTGGTGACTGGGTCTGCCTCTGTAGGGCAGGGTGTGTGTAAGGAGCAGGTGAAGAGTGTGGGGTGGTGGTGGAGTGTGTGGGGCTCCCACCTTGGAGAGACTGGGTCTACTTCAGGAGGTTGAGGCGCATGCATGGGGCAGGACTGTGTTGACTGTGTGTGTGTGAACCTGTAGGCGGTGGGGCTTGTCAGCTGCAGAAGACTTGTGCTTCTCAAAGAGCGACATAGGGGGTTGGCCCCACCTTCCAAGCCTGAAACAATTGGGTGCTCCCATGCCTGAGGCCAGCCCCACCAGGCTGCAATCCTCAGAGAGTTGACAAGAGACCTAAAGGCTAGAGGCTTATAGCAATTGTAAGCCCCCGAGCCTAACAACCTGCCACCCTGGGGGCCTACTTAATAGAAATACAGCAACAGGAATGTGCTATTAGACCTTGCAGCCAACTGAGCTGGGACACCCCACATCCGGTAAAGAGACTGAAGGACACACAACAACTACACGCAGCTGAGCATTACAACAGCTGACTGGGGCATAGCTCAGCCTCTCTGGGCACCTACGGGAAGAACAACCCTGCTACAAGAGAGGGGCACATGTAGCCCACACAGGGGTCACTCCTGGAATATTTGCAGCTGAAGAGGAGAGGGAAGCACACTGCCAGCCCTCCTAAAGTATCGCTTATATAAGGTCACCTCTCTGAGAGCAGGAGTCATAGCCAATCTACCTAATACATAGACACAAGCACAGGGAAAGAGGCAAAATGAGGAGGCAAAAGAATACGTTCCAAGCAAGGGAACAAGACAAAACCCCAGAAAAGGAACTAAGTGAGACAGAAATGAGAATCCTTCCCAACAGAGAGTTCAAACAAAGAGTGTTAAGGATGCTCACTGATCTTGGGAGAAGAATGGATGAACTCAGTCAGAACATCAACAAAGAAATGGAAGATTTTAAAAGAACCAATCAGAAATGAAGAATACAATACTGGAAATGAAAAATTCACTAGAGGGACTCAAAAGCAGAGTAGAGGATACAGAAGAATGGAACTGTGAGCTGAATGAAAGACTAGAATAAATCACCCAAGCTGAATAGATAAAAGAAAAAAGAATTAAAAAGATTGAAGACAGTGTAAGGGACCTCTGGGACAACATCAAATACACTAACATCCGTGTTATAGGTGTTCCAGAAGGAGAAGAGCAAGACAAAGGGGCAGAGAATCTATTTGAAGAAATAATAACTGAAAACTTCCCTAACCTAAGGAAGGAAACAGCTATCCAGGTACGGGAATCACATAGAGCACCAAACAAGATAAACCCAAAGAGGCCCACGCCAAGACACGTCATAATTTAAATGTCCAGAATTAAAGATAAAGAGAGAATCCTAAAAGCCGCAAGAGAATGACAAGTTACATACAAAGGAAACCCCATAAGGCTATCAGCTGACTTCTCAGCAGAAACCTTAGAGGCTAGAAAAGAGTGGCATGATATATTTAAAGTGCTAAAAAGAAAAAATCTACAGCCAAGAATACTCTACCCAGCAAGGTTATCATTCAAAATGGAAGGAGAGATAAAAAGTTTCCCAGACAAGCAAAAATTAAAGGACTTTGTCACCGAGAAACCAGTACTACAAGAAATGCTAGGGGGACTTATTTAAGGGGAAAAGAGAAGACCACAAATAGAAAAAATTATCTGTTTCCATGATAAGAGGGTAATGGATACAAATGCACAAAAAAGAGGTTAGATATGATATCAAAAACATAAAAGGAGGGAGGAGGGGAGTTAAAGAGTAGAGCTTTCAGACAAAGGTCAAATTAAAGAGACTATCAACTTAATATAGACTGCTGTATACGTAGGTTACTATATATGAACCCCAGGTAATCACAAAGCAGAAATCTACAATAAATACACAAAAAACTAAGAGAAAGGAACCCAAACATAATGGTAAAGAAAGCCATCAAACCACAAGGGAAGAGAGCAAGAGAAGAAGAAAGGAACAGAGAAAAACTACTAAAACACCAAGGAAAAAAAGTTAAAAAATGGCAGTAAGTACATACTTATCAATAGCTACTTTAAACGTCAATGGACTAAATGCCCCAATTAAAAGGCATAGGGTGGCTGACTGGATTAAAAAACAAGACCCATATATATGTTGCATACAAGAGCCATACTTCAGACCTAAAGACACTCTTAAACTGAAAGTAAAGGGATGGAAAGA